CACATGCACACATGCACACCCACACATGCACACATGCACGCCCCACACATGCACATGCCCCACACATGCACACCCACACATGCACACCCCCACATATGCACACACCAAACACATGCACACACCTCACAAATGCACACACATGCACATGCCACACACATGCACACACCCCACACACCCACACATGCACACACCTCACACATGCACACGCCCCACATATGCACACACCTCACACATGCACACCCCCACACATGCACACACCACACACATGCACACGCCCCACATATGCACACACCTCACAAATGCACACACATGCACATGCCACACACATGCACACACCCCACACACCCACACATGCACGCCCCACACATGCACACCCACACATGCACACATGCACGCCCACACATGCACGCCCCACACATGCACACCCACACATGCACACATGCACGCCCACACATGCACGCCCCACACATGCACACCCACACATGCACGCCCCACACATGCACCCCCACCCATGCACACATGCACGCCCCACACATGCACACCCACACCACATATGCACACACCAAACACATGCACATCCCCACACATGCACACGCGGCACACGCCCCACACACCACACAATGCACACACCACACACATGCACACACCACACATGCACACACCACACAATGCACATACCACACATGCACATGCCACACACATGCACACACACACATGCACACACCACACATTTCGTACAGCCTCATCCATGCACTGTGCTCCCCGACTCTCTGTGTGCATCCCTGCCAGGTGTGACCAGGTGTGACCAGCCCTGGCCGTGGAGAGAGGTGAAACCACCACCCACTCCACAGAAAAGCCAGCAGGGGCCGGCCTGGGGGACCCTGTCCCCAGCTGTGCAGCCGGTCCAGCCGGTCCAGCAGAAATCTGGGGCAGAGAGGAAGGCCCACTTGGACGGGTCAGCCAGCTTCTGGAGGCCGTGGCTGGGCAGGCCTGTGCCCACGGGCCCTCAGATGTGGGGGCTGCAGAGGGTACTCGAGACCTCGCTCTGGCAGCACCTGGAGGCCCCGGGCGCTGGTAGTTCACAGACACACAGGTGACCCAAGTGGGTGCCAAGGGTCAAGACTCAAGACGGGAGCGGTGATGGGTGATCAGGTGAACGCCCTGGACGGAGCCCTGGGCGGCTGGCGGGGCCGTCCCAGGTGAGGTGCCAGCTCCTGGCGGGCTCTGGACCCCAGGCGAGGCCGCAGCGCACATGGGTGCTGTGAACACGCTGGTGCCCGGATCAGAGAGAGTGGCGTCCGGAGTTAGAGCCTGAGGAAGCTGGGGAATCGGATGGAAACCGGACTATTTTTGAAACTTCTTTGTAAGTGTGAACTAATTGCAAAAAAGGAAAGTGAAAAATGTTTGCAAAGCAGTGTGACATGGGGGGCTGGCGCCGGGAGAGGCCAGCAGGGCGGGCACCCCTCCACACCCTCCCCCTGAGCCCCACTGCACAGGGCGGGGGGGGTGGTGTCACGGCTCTCCCATGGGGCTGTGCTGGGGCTGGGCAGACGCAGGAGGCGGGGCTGGAGCTTCCAGATTTCCTGGCTCCAGAGCTCCCCCCAGCGCTTCCTCACAGCCCCAGGCATGGGGAGGAGTGGCCCCCTGGTTTGGGTTTGGGGCTCAGGTGATGAGAGGACCCCTGGGAGGGGTCCCTGGTCTGCTCTGCTCCCCGGTTCCCCCCACCTCTCTGGGAAGAAAACGGAGTCGGGGCGGGGGTCATGTCCCAGCGGCCCCTGGGGGGCGAGGGCAGCACCGGGCCCCGCACTCGGCTGGACGGTAATGTGGGTTCTTGACTCCACGCAGGAAAGTGTTCACTACGTGGGGCCTGTGGTTTTGATCCGAGGTTTATTGAAGCTGGGACGCTGGAGGAAGGGAGGGCTCAGGAGAGAGCCCAGGCGGGTGCTCGACTCCCTGGAAACTACAGGAGGGAGGGAGCCCCGCTGGCTGCCTGGCCCACTGCCGGGAAGGTTACCAGACGGAAGTGCCGAGGCCGAGGCCGAGGCCGGGCTGCCCCCGGCTCACTGCACAGTCAGAGAAGCGAGACAGGTGAGCCCGGACAGCTGCCCGCCGCCGCCCACTGCTCTCCTGGGCTTGAGTCTTGTGGGGACCCTTAGAGCTTCGGGGAAGGAGAGTGGAGATACAGGAGCCAGGGAGACGGGCTGGGCCTGCTCTAGAGAGAGAGGAGGGAGCGCCCTGCTAGCTCTCCTGCAGCGGGAACCCCAGGGGTGGTCTCCGGAGGGTCTCGCCAGAATATTCACCAGCTTTCCAGTGTCACCTGGCCCTAACCGTGTGGGACTGACTGCCAGGGCCTGCCAGCAAGGTGACCCCAGCCGGCTCCCAGCTGTTCAAAACCTCCCCCACCCACGAGGCCAGGGGGCCCCAATCCGGAGGGTCAGTGCAAAGGGGCAGCCGGCACTGCAGATGGAGGACTTTATTAAAGGGAGCACATAGGCCCTGGCTGGTGTGGCTCAGTGAATAGAGTGTCGGCCTATGGACTGAAGGGTCCCGGGTTCGATTCCAGTCAAGGGCACATGCCCAGGTTGCGGGCTCAATCCCCAGTGGGGGGGGTGCAGGAGGAGATGATCAATGATTCTCTCTCATCATTGATGTTTCTATCTCTCCCTCTCCCTTCTTCTCTGAAATCAATAAAAATATATTTTTTAAAAAGGGAGCACGTGGCTGACCGGCCCCACCCCTTCCTCCAGAGGCTTCTCTCTAGTCACCCTGATGCCAGCCTGTGGGGTGGCCATCCTGCCTGCCTTCAGGGGTATCATTGGCCCAGATGTCCACCTGGGCCCCTCGGTGGCCATTCTAGTAGCCGCTGCGGTCTGTCCAGCCCCGTGCTGGGAGGCTCAGCCAGCCGCAGAGGATGGCAGGGCCAGGAGGGCCCGCGGCTGGAAACAGGCAGGTGGGCAAATAGCAGCCCAGCTCGATGCTCAGCTCTAGGCAGAGCACGGCGGACAAGGAGCGCGGCCCCGAGCAGGACGGGGACCCTGCTGTCAGTTCTCGCCGGGGAAGAGCAGGACTGGACAGGGAGGCACCGGACAGGGTCAGAGGCCCCTTGGTGGACACATGAGCTGGAGCCAGTCCTGGGGTGACCGGTGGGGCTAAGGCCCTCGGATGGTGTTCCTCGTAGCAGAAGGCGCTGGGGGGACTGGGCACAGAGCCCTGACCTGCAGCCAAGGCGCATCCCGGCTCTGCCCTGACCTCAGAGGGCCTGGCTGTTCCGTCTGTGGAGGTGCTGGCTGGGCAGTGGGTGCGGCAGGAAGCAGGGCCCGGGCAGAACAGGCAGGGCCTGGGGTGGGG